CTATAGACTAGACTAGACTATAGACTAGACTATAGACTAGACTATAGACTAGACTATAGACTAGACTATAGACTAGACTATAGACTAGACTATAGACTAGACTATAGACTAGACTATAGACTAGACTATAGACTAGACTATAGACTAGACTATAGACTAGACTATAGACTAGACTATAGACTAGACTATAGACTAGACTATAGACTAGACTATAGACTAGACTATAGACTAGACTATAGACTAGACTATAGACTAGACTATAGACTAGACTATAGACTAGACTATAGACTAGACTATAGACTAGACTATAGACTAGACTATAGACTAGACTATAGACTAGACTATAGACTAGACTATAGACTAGACTATAGACTAGACTATAGACTAGACTATAGACTAGACTATAGACTAGACTATAGACTAGACTATAGACTAGACTATAGACTAGACTATAGACTAGGACTATAGACTAGACTATAGACTAGACTATAGACTAGACTATAGACTAGACTATAGACTAGACTATAGACTAGACTAGACTAGACTATAAGACTAGACTATAGACTAGACTATAGACTAGACTATAGACTAGACTATAGACTAGACTATAGACTAGACTATAGACTAGACTATAGACTAGACTATAGACTAGACTATAGACTAGACTATAGACTAGACTATAGACTAGACTATAGACTAGACTATAGACTAGACTATAGACTAGACTATAGACTAGACCTATAGACTAGACTATAGACTAGACTATAGACTAGACTATAGACTAGACTATAGACTAGACTATAGACTAGACTATAGACTAGACTATAGACTAGACTATAGACTAGACTATAGACGACTATAGACTAGACTATAGACTAGACTATAGACTAGACTATAGACTAGACTATAGACTAGACTATAGACTAGACTATAGACTAGACTATAGACTAGACTATAGACTAGACTATAGACTAGACTATAGACTAGACTATAGACTAGACTATGACTAGACTATAGACTAGACTATAGACTAGACTATAGACTAGACTATATAGACTAGACTAGACTATAGACTAGACTATAGACTAGACTATAGACTAGACTATAGACTAGACTATAGACTAGACTATAGACTAGACTATAGACTAGACTATAGACTAGACTATAGTCTAGACTATAGACTAGACTAGACTATAGACTAGACTATAGACTAGACTATAGACTAGACTATAGACTAGACTATAGACTAGACTATAGACTAGACTAGACGATAGACTAGACTATAGACTAGACTAGACGATAGACTAGACTATAGACTAGACAATGCAAAGGGGACCCATACGACTGAAGTAAAGCTTACTCCTGGCAGTGAGCTGTGTAAAACCTAAACTAAACATTTCTCTGTAGAAACTTCTAGCGAATAAACTTATATTATTGTAAAAATCGAACTTTTAGGAAATTTTTTCTTTTATTTCCTTTTCAGCATTTCACCGGTATCAAATCAGGAATCCGTTTGGTTTACCTTAGATTGGAAAGTGCCTTGCGTGTTATTTTACAGTAGTATAAATTCAGAAAAATGTCAATATGAGGGCGTAGGTTCAGAAGATTTAGAAATACCCCACAATGAGCCACAGCCCCTGTTTAATCCATTTATAAAAGTAATATTTTTTTTATGTTCATCTCTTTTTTCATAAATTATCTCCTTCTTTTTTAAGTAAGACTAACAGAAAAAGAAAGAGATAGAGCATGAAAATTTGCTAAACGAATGAGTTTAAATAATGTATTTATATGTATGTATTATATTTCAGGATATTGTTAATCCTGTACACCCGCTTAATCCTGGTGATACATTATTTAAACCATTGCAAGCGAATGAAATGCCGCAGGCTGGTGATTTGGTTGCTATGGATGCTGAATTTGTCACCTTAAATCCCGAAGAGAATGAAATACGTCCGGATGGCAAAACAGCAACCATAAAACCATGTCACATGAGCGTTGCGCGTATTTCATGTATACGAGGGTAAGCTGTTAATTTTTGCTATAAAACAAATGTTTTAATTTAGATTTTTTTTGTTTTTGTTTTTTTTTTTCGATATTTTGTATTTTTTTGTTTACTTAAATGCAAAAACTTTAGACAAGGTCCTGATGAGGGCATACCCTTTATGGATGATTACATATCAACCCAAGAAAAGGTGGTGGATTATCTAACACAATTTTCGGGTATTAAACCAGGCGATTTAGATGCAAATTTCAGCAGCAAACGTTTGACAGCTCTTAAGAATTCATATCAAAAACTTAAGTATTTGGTCGATGTGGGTGTTTTATTTGTGGGTCATGGTTTGAAAAATGATTTCCGGTGGGTATTTCCTAATTACATTTATCGCAGCACAAAAATTTATTGCTTTTTTTCTTTACATTTAGAGTCATTAATATCTATGTACCTTCCGAGCAAATTATAGACACTGTCCATCTGTTCCATTTACCCCATCATCGTATGGTATCTTTAAGATTCTTAGCCTGGCATTTCTTGGGCACTAAAATCCAATCTGAGACCCATGATTCTGTAGAAGATGCACGCACCACCCTACAGCTCTACAAACACTATTTGCAGTTACAGGCTGAAAAGAAATTCACTGCCGCCTTGAAAAATCTTTATGATCGTGGCAAACAATTGCAATGGAAAGTACCCGAGGATTGAGAAATAACAAACAACAACAAAATTAAGCAGCATTTAAACTAAATTACAAATCATTTGATGAAAAAAAAACCGTCGTTTTTACACAGAAAAAAATTATTAGACAAAAGTAGAAGAAAAAAAAAACAAAGTACAAACTGACACCGAACCGTGAGAAAAAAGTTTTACCATTTTAAATATAACCACTTATCCCCCTACTCTCTTTTTAGTGATGATTATTTTGTTTCAGACTTTACACAAAACTTTATATATATTCTATATTATATTGATTGTATTTTGTTAGATTTTTTGTTTTAGACATTTTATATTAAAAAAAATTAAAAAAAAAACAACAAGCAACACCGCCAATTACACAAACACACAAATGATAATGTCCCTCTTTGAAAGAAAAATCGCTCAATTTGTTTAAAAAAAAAAGAGAGAAAAAAAAGGAACATGATTAAAAAAAAATCCCTTAAAATATATTTATTTTACAAAAAGTACTTTAAAGGACACAAAAAAAATTAAAAAAAAAAAAACAAAAACAATTAAAAAAAATTATATATTTTTGAAAATGGTTAAAATAAAATTAAAAAAAAAAACAAAAATAAATAAAGCAAATTTTTAAAGAAATATTTTTAAATGTTTTTATTTTTAACATAAATTTTTAATAACGCAACTGGTACAAGGTGTCTTGGCTAAACTGTGATCTTTGGAAAAGTGTCTGTACTAGATAGTTTTTTTTTTTATAGAAAAGTGTCTCCGCTAAATAGTGTTTTCTTGAAGGTTATATTCGCTAGAACGTTTTGTATAAAAAAACTGTATAATGGACTATATACTAGACTACAAACTAGGCTATATACTAGATTATAGGGCAAGAGTATAGGTTAAACTACAGAGTAGACTATAGACTAGAGCATAGACTGAACTATAAACTAGATTATAGACAATATTATAGACTAGACTATACTATTAACTGGGCTATATAATAGGCTATAAACTATACGTTAGACTAATCTATAGACTAAAGTATAGAATAGACTATAGACTAGATAATAGGCTACAGTATAGACTAGACTTGACTATAGACTGGACTATTGACTAAACTATTGACTAGACTATAGACTAGACTATAGATTAGACTATAGACTAGGCTATAGACTAGACTATAGATCAGACCATTGACTAGACTATAGATCAGACTATTGACTAGACTGTAGACTAGCCTATAGACCAGACTATAGACTAGACTATAGGCTAGACTATAGGCTAGACTATAGACTAGACTATAGGCTAGACTATAGACTAGACTATAGGCTAGACTATAGACTAGACTAGACCTGACTAGACTTGACTAGACTAGACAATAGACTAGACTATAAACTAAAATATATACTAGACTATAGACTAGGTTATAGACTAGCATATAGACTAAGCTATAGACTAGCCTATAAACTAGGCTATAGACTAGCCTATATACTTGGCTCTGGTTTAGCATATAGACTAGGCTACTAAAGACTAGGCTATATAATAGCCTATAGACTAGGCTATATAATAACCTATATATAGGATATATACTTGCCAATTGACTAGGCTATTGACTTGCCTATAGACTGGGCTAAAGACCACAATATGGAATACTCTATAGACTAAACTAGATTATAGACTATAATATAGATTGGACTAGAGTTTAGACTATATTAAAGACTAGACTATATGATTTACTTTAGGAAAGTATCTTGGATGGAGAGTTTTGTTTAAAATATATCTTGGCTAGACCGTTATTTATTAAAAGTGTCTTCACTAAAGTGTTTACTTTAGAAAATTGTCTTCGCTAGATATATTCTTCAGTAAAAGTTCCTTTATAAAAAAAGTTTTAGAAAATTTCCTTTTGTTGGGATAATTCTATAAAAGTATTTACTTTTTCCCAAAACAAGTGTCTTCGCTAAGACGTTTTATAAGAAAATTTAGTTTGCTAGACATTTTTCTTTAGAAATGTGTCTTCGCTAAATAGTTTGCTTCAAAAGTTACTTCTTCAGTTTTCTATATAAAATTTTCTTTTTTTTTTAAGTTGAATTTAGAAAATTTGCTTTTCTTATATAAATTTCAATAGAAAATTATTTATCGGAAACTCATTTCTTTAGAAAGTTGTCTTTAATTAACAGTTTTCTTTTGAGAAATGTTCTCCTTAAACAGTTTAATAATACATACCTTAATTTTGTAATTATTTTTAAAATCTTAAAATAAAACATTAACATATTTTTCTTTAACATCAATTAAAACGAGAAAAAAGTTCATATTTTTGTTTATTTTTTTTGTTGTTTTTTACAATATTTAAATAACATACAATTAAAAATTTCTTTATTAAATCCTTGCTAAACAAGGATATAAATATAAATAATAAAAATTCAAATAGATGGTGAAAAATTAAAAAGAGAAATATTTAACGAAATCAACTAAAGTTTAGAAATAGAAAAGTGGGGTCATATGTATAAAATAAGAAGAAAAAATGTAGTTATAACTTAAAATTACCTTGGGATTGTATGTTAAATGAATGTTTTTTTTTTTAATATAATTTTTGGATTATTATTATAATTTTGTTTTAAATATTGTCATAATCTTCGTCCATGTCTAAATATGAATCACTTTTTGTCGCTGAAATCGTTGTAGTCATGGTTGTGGCGGCAGCAACTGCAGCAGCTAGTGCCGTAGCCTTGGTAGTATTTGTAGTAGAAGAAGAAGAAGTAGAATTGAATGGCTCCGCCATTGCAGCTTTGGAATTACGAGATTGTTGTTCAACAACAGCTGTTTTAGCTGTTAAAGGTTTTGTTTTATTAATTAATGATGATAATGATGATGACGAAGTTGTTAATGTTGATGGGGCTGTGCAAGATGATGCTGATGACGATGATGCTGGTAATTTTGGTGGCGGCGGTAAGGTTGGAGTACCAATACTTATAGTAGCCATGCTGGGTATAGCTGATGTGGGTGAGGCCACTATATTGGACAGATCTATATTGATGACTGGTTCGGCTGAGAAATTAAAGGCCGTACTAGCTATATTGGCAGGTGCACTCAAGGGTGCAGCCACTGCATTGGCTGACGCCGTTACACCTGCTAACGGCAGATTACTATAGTCTATTTTAACTACTGGCTTACTGCAATAATCGATGTTAACAATAGGCGCAGGTATGGCAGTCTGTTGCGAGGGTGTACGTAACGTTTTTAGAGGGGTTTGGGTATTTGGTTTATTGTTATTGTTGTTGTTGTTATTATTATTACTGTTCTCCATATGCGTCGGCATTGAGTATGATTGATGTTTCAGTCGGGGATGTTGTACTGTTGTTAGCGACGCTGCCGTAGACAACTGCTGTTGTTGAGGAACTGGTGTTGAATCGGAACGTGCTAATTTGGCTGGCAAACAATCAACATTTGTTTGAGCCATCGCTGTTGTATGTCTTATAACCGAACTGGGATTCGAACTCATTGAACGTTTTAAATAATTTCTTTGATACTCATGGGGTTGATGAGCAGCATGCACTTGTGTTGCATGATGTCCTCCACCATTGTGGCCATTTGAAATTGTATGCTGTTGTTGTTGTTGTTGACGTCCAGCTCTTAACGATGTCGAGGGCATACTTAAATCGTATGGTGTATCCGAATCTGGATATTGTTCTTCTGGTGAACTTTGATTATCCTCTTCTTGATAATTAGCCGCCTCTTCGGCAACACTTATATCGGGTATATTACGTACCAGTTCACGCAGAAAATCAAAACGTTGTTCCGACATAATGCACTGTTTCATGTGGGATGTAGACAGTGTCTTGGCATTTCGAGAGTTGGTTATTTTAAGGGTTTTTGTTAGTAGCGAATCGACGAAAAGCTCTAATGTTCTAGGTAAACATGAGAAAAAAGGCATAGGACCGAAAGATCCCAGATAAAATCTGCAGTTAAGGAAATCATTTTATGTGATATAATTTTTAAAAAATATTACTATTTTTAGTTCAGTTTTTGTTAAGTTCTACTTTAATTAAATGTACCTACTTAGTTATATTTGAGTTCTAATTCAGTTCTAGTGTAGTTCTACTTCAGTTCTAGTTAAGTTCTAGTTCAGTTCTAGTTCAGTTCTAGTTCAGTTCTAGTTCAGTTCTAGTTCAGTTCTAGTTCAGTTCTAGTTCAGTTCTAGTTCAGTTCTAGTTCATTTCTAGTTCAGTTCTAGTTTAGTTCTAGTTTATACCTAATTTAGTTCTAGATTAGTTTAGCTATAGTTCAGTTCTAGTTCAATTCTAGATAAGTGTCTTTAAACACTCAAATTAAATATTTTGTTTGTTTAGAAAAGGATATAAATTATAATGGGAACAGCTTGGGCCACTTTTCCAACTTCTTCATCACTTTGCATGATCTTTTTGATACGGCCCTGTAAGTAAACAAAACGAAAATAACATAAACTTATGGAAAACAAACACACAAACTCATACATTTAACACACTGTAGGTCTTGCTATGAGCAAGACAACAAAAAAGAACTATTTTAGAAGGGGTAGTCTCATTATAACAGTTTCATTTGTATTTTTTTTTTGTTATTTTTCATTAATATTTATGGAATTCTTTAAAAATGTTTTTTTTTGCTTGCTTTATTTTAGTGCAGGCAGTTTGTTTATCACTATAATTGTTTTTTCTAATAATTTATTTTTTGCTTTTTTTGTTTGTTTTAGCAATTCTTCCTCTTCTTTTTTATTAATTTTTATTAAAAGAAAACACTTACCGCTGGAAAACGTGCATTATATTTCTTCTTTTTGGATGGCATTTTTGTTTTTCCTTTCCTAGTGGTTTTGTTTTCTGTTGCCTAATGCAAAAAAAAAAGAGTTTGCACAATTCACTTTTGTTTTTTTTTTTTTGCTTTTTAATTTTCTAAATGTTTCCTTCTTTTTTTATCACCTAAAATGCTTTGTGTTGTTGTGTTCTAAAAAATCTCTATGACAGTTGCAAAAGATGGCTTTTGCTTGTCTCTATTACACTTTTTTCTTTTTTTTTTGTTGAGAATTATTCTTAAAGTATTTTAACTTTTTATCTTGACATGTAAATTATTAACCATAAAAACTTTTGTTAATTATAAACTAAATACATTTTGTTTGTTTCTAAAAAATTGTATTATTTTTGTATAAAAATAAAAGTTATTTTTCCAATAATTTTTTTCACGTAAAGAACTGATAGAAAAAAAATCTGACTTGGCGTGCTTAGTGAGTGATGCCGTATTAATAGAAAAATTGAATTATTGACAGATGTGAATACTCTACAACTAATAGTAAAATGGGTAACCATTTGGAGACTAGTGTTGACAGATTAGTCAAACGTAAATATTATGATACGTAAAAGTATCGTAGTGTGGAAAATAAAACATCTATTTTTTAAACATATTTCAAAATTTTTAAATAAATTTGTGTGTTTGTATATGTATTATGTGTTGTTGTTTATTTTTACTTTTTTATTAGCAAATATCTCTACTTAATGTATATGTTACTCCACGTAGAGCATACGTTTTATACGAGATTACTTATTTCTCACCTCATACTCGATTACTTTTTATTATTTTACAATTATTTTCTCATCACTATTTGCTTTTCGATCAGCTGTTTTATTTTTGCCTTTTTTCCGTGTTTTTCTTTCTTCATTCTTTTTTGCATTCTTATCAAGTCATTTTGCATGCGAAAAATTGTACAACTTTTTTCGCTTGTCTCATAAATTGTTGTGCAAAAATTGATGTCCCAATATAATACCAAAAAAGATCCTTGCAAAGCCAATGCCTGTAGAATTCAAGCTTGTTTAAAGGGTAAGTTTATCAAACATTTGCAAATAATTGCCTGTAACTTGTAATTATTATATAATTTATAGAGAATAATTATCAGGAGGACAAGTGTTTGGAGGTTTTGGAGCAGATGCGCCAATGCTGCTTGAAGTGGCACAAACAATCTTTATGTTGTTCGGGTATTTATTTGGAACGTCCATATATTAAAAGTGAAGAAAAACAAACCGAGGAGGAAAAAACCAAAGGAAAACGTTAAGACGTTTGTGTTAAAGAGGTAAAGCGGCATAAATCTATAATGATTAATAATCTACTTTACAAGGAGGGGCTTTTAAAGCTTAAAGGGAACATTTTAGTACAGACGATCGACTGGACAATATCTATAATTTAGTCCTATCAGTACAAACTATTGACCATACCAGACTATAGACTACACTATAGTCCAGCCTATAGACTACACTAGACTACTCTATAGTCCAGACTATAGACTAGACTATTGGCCAGAATATAGACTAGACTATAGTCCAAACTATGAACTAGACTAGACTCCAGACTAAAGTGTACACTACAGTCTATAGCCTAGCCCTGCAGTTTTTTGTTATCAAAAAATCCTAACATAGTTCTACATTTTATTATCTTCCTTTCAGCTAGAAATAATGCCAAATCCTTCCATACCGCCTTATAAACCACCACAAGAATTGCAAGAAATTCTAAAACAACAAGCCGCACAACGTAAACGTACCGCCCAATTACCCAAACGTAATTGGATACAAAGAAATCCTCGTCTCTTTCAAATCACCTTTATAACCACCTCATTGCTGGTGCTATTCTCTCGACCACTCTACGACGCCTTCATCGAAGAATCATTTCCAGCTCTAGAGGATTCTATTAAATTCAAAAAACGCGAGTAATGGAATCAGTACGTAAGGCTAAACAACGTTTACGCAACTATCCCATACTCTTAGGAAAATGTGCCGAAACGGCTACGGTCTATGCAGCCTGTGTAAGTCGTGATTTGAATGTACAACATAAAACCTGTGACAAAGAGTTCCAACTGTTTAAGGAATGTCTACAAAAGGCAGCACATGAAATGAAAACAAAATTATAAAGCAATAGAGAGAAAAAATTGCAATAAACACTCTTAAGAAATTATAAAATAATAAGATTTTCCACATATTTTTTAAAAAACACAAAATGGCGGCCAAAACAATGAAACTGCAACATTTAAAAGAGAATGTAACGAATCTTTCCTTTCGTTTCCATTTATTAATATCTATAGTTATACGCTTGGCTTTAATTTGCTATGGACAATTACATGACGAACACTCAGAAGTGCCCTATACGGATATAGATTATAAAGTAGTAACCGATGGAGCTAGACAAATACTCCAGGGTAATACACCCTTTAAAAGGCACACATATCGTTATAGTCCCCTGCTGGCTTATATGCAATTACCCAATGTTATATTGCATCCATGTGTGGGTAAACTTATATACTCCTCCTTTGATCTGCTAGTAGCAGTGTTAATCTATGCTATTGTCAAAGCCGAATTACAATCACAATGCAATAAGGCGGTACAATATTTACTAACCAAATATGGTAAATCTAATAAATCTACTTCAAGTGCCAATTATGGTGATACCGATGAACGCAATAGACCTGCCCAAATAGCCAAATTATCAGCCTGCTTTTGGCTTTATAATCCTTTAACCGCTGTTATTTCTACCCGTGGCAATGGTGATAGTTTTTCCAGTTTCTTTGTTATCTTAACCCTATATCTTTTAGCCAAATCGGAGGATTGTTCGCGCAAAAGTACACGCAATTGGTTTATTTTATTGGCCGGTTTGTCACATGGTTTTGCCATACATTTGCGGCTTTATCCTCTACTCTTTAGTTTAGCCTATTATCTTAGTTTATCTGAGCGTTTAGTGCGCTCTTTAAAGGAGTTCTTACGTATTGTATTATTTCCCTCTAGCAAACAGTTATTATTAGTTTTTGGTACCTTTTTAAGTTTATTTTTAATAACCGGCTTTTTCTATTGTCTCTATGGTTGGCAATATATCTATGAGGCCTACTTATATCATTTTGTACGCAAAGATGCTAGACACAATTTTTCTTTGTACTTCTTGATGCAATACCTAAGTGGTGCTGCTGTAGAAACTTCTCTATTAGAAAAATCCCTTATTCTGTTGCCTCAATTGCTACTGATTTTATATCTAAGTTTTGCCTTTGGTCAATTTAGACAAACTTTACCGTTTTGCATCTTTTCCCTGGCCTTTGTTATGGTTACTTTTAATTCGGTGGTTACCTCACAATATTTTGTTTGGTATTTGGCCCTATTACCGTTATGTCTGAATAATCTACAATCTATTACATGGCTTCAATCAGCAGCCTATTTTGCTTTATGGTTAGTGGCCCAGGGTTTATGGCTGTTGCCTGCCTATCTATTGGAATTTAAGACTTGGAATACATTTTATTGGATCGGCGCTCAAAGTGCCTTTTTCTTTATGGTCAACAATTTGCTATTGGCACGTTTAATCGAACATTATAGCTTTACCTCGTTTAAGGTTAATTTTAAGAAACTTTTTTAGAAAAAGTAACATAAATATGGAATGGATTGGTAAAATATGTAGTTATTTAGTTGAATTATAAGAGATCATACAATTTATAATAACTTAAATGAAGTAGTTTCACTTTGTAAACAATTTTTATAATAAATTGAAATAAAATATTAATAAAAAAAAAATTAAAGTAATTACAAAAAAGTGGTTAATTTTTATATTATTATCGATCTACCGACTATAATTCAGAATATAGACTAAAAAATAGTTCAAACTATAAACTAGACAATAGTCTAGCCTACAGACTAGTATATAGTCCATAGTTCGGATTATGAACAAGACAATATTCCAGTAGTCCTCACTATAGAACAGACTATAGTCCTAAAATCAAAAGTTTTATATAAGTGTCTTCCTAGATATTTTATACTAAAAAGTTTCTCTAGGTTTTCATATGTAATTGAACATTACTACTTGAATATGGTAGGGGATTTTATTAAAATATCGCAAGTATGATAAAAATGCTTCGTGAGAAGGGTATATATAAGTTTGTCATTCCGTTTGTAATTTCTACAATATAATTTTCCGACCCTATAAAGTATATTCCGAGTCCTTATAGATAGCGGAGTCGATTAAGCTATGTCCGTGTCTGTCTGTCTGTCTGTCTGTCCGTCTGTCTGTGTGTTTGTTGAAATCAATTTTCTGAAGACCCCAGATATCTTCAGGATCCAAATCTTCAATAATTCTGTTGGACATACTTTCGAGAAGTTTCCTATTGAAAATCAGCAAAATCGGTCCATAAATAACGGAGATATGAGCAAAAATCCGAGACAACCTCTGAAAATTTCATCAAAAAAGCAACAACAACACTGCTTATTGTATAAAAGGTTGGTTTCATTGCGATGTGTATTTTGTTTTTGTTTTTTTGTGTATGTATTTCGTTTCATATGTTTGGATGGCTGTGGTTTCATTGCCTTGTGTATTTTGTTTTTTTGTGTATATTGTTTCGAATGTTTGGATGGCTGTGGTTTCATTACGTTGTGTATTTTGTTTTTTCTGTTTTTTATTTCGTTTAGCATTGTTGTTGTTTCTCTTGTTTTGCTTAAGTTATGACAGGGTCGGGAATATGAAATAAACTGACATTTTATAAAATTAATATTTTTTAAACACAATATGGTGAAGGGTATATAAGATTCGGCAAAGGCGAATATAGACTTCTTACTTGTTTTATTTTTAGATACATATTAAACAAGTAAGAAAGTATAGTCGGGCGTGGCCGACCATATGATACCCTACACCAGTTATGAATATTAAATGTGATTTATTTTTCATAATATCGCATTTATCTTCAATATTCCCTGGTTCCGATACATTTAAGAAATTTATGGATGAAAAACTAATTTTCTGAAAGAGGCTTTATATGGGGGCTAGGGGCAAATATGGACCAAGCCCGATAAAATTTTGTGAATATATTTATATTTACATAATATTTTATTGTGCTGAATTTCATCGGGATATTTGTGTTTATAAGTTAATTTGGGACATTCAAGTAATTTTCTGAAGGGGACTTTGTATGGGAGCTAGGGTCAAATGGGGCCCGATCTTTATGAAATTTGGCAGGGTTATCAAGACTTCTATAAAACTTAGTTATGCCGTATTTTATCGATATATCTGTATATTTAACATAATTATGAGCTCAGAAGCCCTTTTCGGGGGGTTCTGTTCTATGGGGGCTAGGTGAAATAATGGACCGATTTTAACCATTTTCAATAGGCTTCGTCCTTGGGTCAAATAAAACGTGCGTGCCAAATTTCATCCAATTATCTTTAAAATTGCGACCTGTAGCTTGCGCACAAGGTTTACATGGACAGCCAGCCAGCCAGCCAGCCAGCCAGACGGACGGACGGACGGACGGACGGACATAGCTTAATCGACTCAGAAAACGATTCTAAGCCGATTGGTATACTTTAAGGTGGGTCTAGGACGAATATTTTTATATGTTACAAACATCAGCACAAATCCAATATACCCTCCCCACTAAAGTGGTGTAGGGTATAAAAAAAACAGAACTTAACATGATTGATAAAACAACGAGCAACAGTTAATAAAGAGAAAGTTTAAAAAATCCAAAGAGAGTGGCAAAAAACATAACCTGCTAATTGGTATTGTGAAAAATATGGCAAAAAAAAGCTCTAAAATTGAAATTTTAAGAAGATTTTAGAATTTTTCTTTTGCTGCACAAATCTTACACATTTAGGAAAAATTTGTTAATAATTTTTCAAGAAAATATTATGGAATATAGTTAAAATCTAACAAACTTTATCTTTCAGCTTTTCAACCCATAAAAAATACACTAAATTCTAACCTTAAAAAAAGCTAAATTAACAACACTTATTTTTATAGCTCTGCAAATTTGTAGAGCGCAAAAAGTCAACACAGTAGAACAAAAAAAAAAACTGTTAAAAAACCAACAAAATGCAAGTGAAAAAGAAAAAGTTCAAAAAGTAAACAAAAATAAATATCTGCATCAATACAAAATTTGTTGCATTCTGCAACTATATATAAATTGGTAAAGTTTTACAAAAAAAAACAAGGAATTTTTATATTTTTAATAAATTTATTGAGTAAAACACAAATTTAACATGAATATCGTATATGAGTTCTTTCGTAATAATCATATTTTGGCAATATGTGAAGATGTTTTGTGCAAAAAATCATTTACCCTAAATTTATCACGTTTTGAAATGCCCGAGGTGCCTGATTTGGTGGAAAAATGCGATATAATATTTAAATTATTTTTAAATCATAATCATTTGACACAAGTAAGTTCTATACATAATTAAATTAAGCTAATAAATAAACGTTTCTAATTTCTTGTTAATTTGCAGTTACCTGCCTTTGTCAGCCACCTAACACGTCTGCAAATTTTAACTTTGGACTTTAATAAATTAAATGAATTTCCCCTGGTTATTTGCCAGCTAACAAATCTAAAAGTATTAAACATTAGCTGTAATCATATCAATACTTTACCCAATGAAATTGGTCAATTAACACAATTGGAAACATTTTGGTGTAATAATACCGGTCTGCAACAGTTACCCGAAGCATTGGGAAATTGTGAGTGTTTGGAGACTTTAGGTGTAAGAGGCAATCAATTAAAAAGTCTTCCTTCATCTTTAAAACGTTTACGCAAATTGAGATGGTTAACTTTGGAAAATAATCAAATTTCCTTTGTGCCCGAATGTATGGGAGATTTAAAAAATCTTATACATTTAAATTTGAAAAGTAATCATTTGGTTGCTATCCCACATTGTTTGAAACGTATGAAAAGATTACAGTATGTTTTTCTCAATTGCAATCGTATTGCTGGGCCCGTTACGGAAGAATTGTTAAAGGAATTGGAATTTATAAGAATGTTGAATATATGTGATAATCCATTGTGTAATATAACGGCAACTAAAATGCAATTAAAGGTAAGTTAAAGGCGGAAATGAAAAGTGTTTTCTAAGGAGTCTTTTCTATAGAACAGTGTCTTCCCAAGTATCTAGAAAAGTATTTTCCCAAGAGACTTTTCTTGTATAGAAACTTTTCTATAGAAAACTGTCTTTCCAAGTGACTTTTCTATAGAAAATTGTTTTTCCAGGAGACTTTTCTATAGAAAAGTGTCTCCTATAGAGACTTCTACAAAAAAGTGTCTTCTTAAGAGACTTTACTATAGAAAATTGTCTTCTAAAGAGACTTTTCTATAGAAAAGTGTCTTATAAAGAGACTTTTCTATAGAAATGTGTGTTCTAAAGAGACTTTTCTATAGAAAAGTGTATTCTAAGGAGATTTTTCTATAAAAAAGTGTCTTCTAAGGAGATTTTTCTATAAAAAAGTGTCTTCTAAAGAGGCTTGTGTGTCTTCCCAAGAGACTTCTATAGAAAAGTGTCTTCCCAAGAGACTTTTCTATAGGAAAAGGGTCCTTCTAGGAGATTTTTCTATAGAAGTGTCTTTCTAAGACACTTTTCTATAGAAAACTATTGTCCAAGACTCCTTGCTATACGAAAGTTTCTTGTAAAGACACTTTTATTTTTCTTTTAAGGAACATGGCAATATTCTCTGTGATACAAAAGATCATACAAATACAACCAACATGGATGATTTATTAGATGATAATGATAATAATGAAGACGATGATGAGGATTTATCTGATTGGGAAAATAGTATTGAGACCAGTGATTTAGATACCACCGATGAAAGTAGTCCGGAAAATGATGTAGAGGTAAATTATGAAATAAAGAAACGAAAAAAACTAATAGAAACAAATAATAAACAAATTTAGCTAGACTATACAAATTTGCCATTATAAGGACTAAAAGTCTTTCTTCTTCAAGCACTGTGCCTTTTTGAAAACCTTATTTATTTAGTTAATTTGTAATTTCCTTTATTATGTCTCTTTCTCTTCCAGGATATTTCCGTTTTAATACCCGAACTTTCACGCTATATAACAAATTTTAGTTAATATTTAATTGTCTGTTTATTTATGTTTTATTCAACATGTTGTGTTTTTGTATTTTCCCCGAGAAGAAAGCCATTAAACAATAATATGCAATAAAAAGCGTTTAACAACGACAAAACTAAATTAGCAAATATTGCTATGTACAGTTTAAAAAAAAAACGATTAATTGTATTTTAATATTAAAAATGAACAAAAGAAAAAAGAAATATGATTACAACTAAATTTAATTGGACATTTTCTTCATTAGTTCTTCATCTTGTATAGACATGGCGGTAAGTTTTTTGCCAATCTTTTCGTGAATATCCAAATATTTAGCAACACAACGATCAATGCAAACCATTTCACCTTTGCCTGGAATGAAAAGTAAAGTTCAGAGATTAGAAAATATTGTTATAAATGAGATTTTCTAAGGAAAATTTTCCATAGAAAAGCTCTTTCACAAGAGACTCTTTCTATAGAAAAGTGACTTCACAAGAGACTTTTATATATTAAAAAATGTCTTCAAGAGAGAGTGTCTTCAAAAAAGTCTTTTCTATAGAAAAATCTCTTCCTAATCGACTTTTCAATAGAAAAGTGTCTTCCTAATAGACTTTTCAATAGAAAAGTGTCTTCCTTAGAGACTTTTCTACAGAAAAGTGTCTTCCTGAGAGGCTTCTCTATAGAAGGTTATTCCTGAGAGGCCTTTCTATAGAAGAGTGAGACTTTTTTATAGAAAAGTGTCTTGCTAAGTGATTTTTCTATATAAAAGTTCCATCCTAAGTGACTTTTCTATAGAAAATTGCCTTTAAAAGAGATTTTTCTATAGAAAATTGTCTTCAAGAGGATTTTCTATAGAAAAGTGTCTTCAAAAGAGGCTTTTGTCTTCCCGAGAGACTGTTTTATGACACTTTTCCATAGAAAAGTATCTTTCTAAGAGACTTTCTATAGAAAAGTGTCTTCCTATGAGACTTTTCTATAGAAAATTGTCTTCAAGAGGATAGAAAAGAGTCTTCAAATTAGGTTTTTGCTTTCCCGAGATACTGTTCTGAGACTTCCATAGAAAAGTGTCTTCCTATGAGACTTTTATATAGAAAAGTGTCTTCAAAATAGATTTTTCTATAGAAAATTGTCTTCAAGAGGATTTTCTATAGAGAAGTTTCTTCCCGAGAAACGTTTCTATAGAAATGTGTCATCCCGAGAGATTTTTTGATATAGAAATTTAAAGTTAACCCAATTTCCTATTCCCCTTAACATGTTTCGTTATCAAAATAAAACACATCTATAATATCGTCCAACACCCCTTAAACACTTACCCAATTCAGCTTCTCCATAACGTGGTGGTATACATTTTTTGTGACAAGCATTTGTCATGCGATTATATAAATCCGACATCATTTCAATTTCCATTTCTTGCATCATTTGTAATTTAGCCTGTTCGGCGGGACTAATCTGGGGCATGGCCATTTTTTTTTTAAATAGTATTCCAAATACACGTGTGTAGTTTAAAGTTTTTTAAAAAATTTTAGATTAAAAATCTTTGCTGCTAACTCAGGAAGATTTTAAGGTGTTAGTTTTTATATATATATTTCTTTTTATGTTGTTAATTAAGCGTTAAAACGTCTAGTTCCCACGGATTCGTAATCACCAATATTTGCTTTTTTCATGCGTTCCCGTATTTGCATATCCTCGTAACGTCGCTTATCCACAGAATTTTTCGATATTACAAACGAGTACACACCTACCACAGTTATAACAGTCCTTTAAAAAGAGAGTATTTTTAATGAAATTTTATAATTAATACGTTTTAATTGTTGTTTTAATTAAAAACATTTAAGTAAAAATCGTACCAACCGACAGCGATTCTACCAAAATTACCCAAAGACATTACTTTTTTCTTCGTTTTTAGATTGGCACAGTGTTCTCTGCTTTTTTACATTAGAAAAAATATGTAAACAGCTGTTATGACATAACCTCAATTTGACAGTTGAAAAGAGAGATAGATAGGGTGACACAAGTTTTTTTTGTGTGTTAAGTGTAGCACAAGAAGTAAACAAACTAAGCGTAGTAATAAAATAGTAGTATTTTTTGTAAGCAAATACTGGGAAAGGTAGTTTTCGTTAGAAATGTAACGTTAAAAAGAAATTTCCTTTAGAAAAGTATTTAAAAGTTAATTTTCTATAGAAATTTACCTAAAATTAAACATTTTTTTGTTAATTAATGAAACCCACTTATTTTTCGTACTAAATTTTAAGCAATTATATATTTTACTCCAAAAAAATCATAATAAACAAATAAGTTTTACAAAAAAATATAAATAAACATAACAAAAAAAGGGAAAAAACATAATAATAAATTGTTAAAAAATGCAATTGTATAACAATTTGGTTTTTAATACAAATTACGTTTGTTTAGCATAGAGATCATTATATAAATACACAACTTTTTCGTTTCAAATTCAAAATATATATAAATATTATAAAAATATACTTATGTTTTGCATTAAAAAAAAGCATATTAGTAAAATTAGTATAAATACAAAAATAAATATGGAATGAAAACAATAAAATTCGATTTTACGTAGTATTCAAAATACCCTATAACTACTATTAACTGGTAGGTGGTATTGAAAAGGCTCTTTGACCGGTGCCATGATTGGGTTTCGAACCAAACCAGCTCATTTTCCAATTTAAAGTGTCATGCAGAAGTTTTTCCTCCTCTTTGGTTAGTTTAAGTAGCGTGGCAACGGCACGTATTAAATGGCGAGCTTCAACCTGAGAATTAGCTAATTAATATTACATAATTAGTAAGTTAAATTTGAAAATGATTACCTCTCGGCTTGTTAGAAATTTAACAATGACATGCTTTAAATATTTAAAATTAACTTCATCCATAATAATACTATTTTTAATTAAACAACCACAATTTTGACATAATTTTGTATTATCATTAGAATATGTTGTTGTTGTGGCGATTATTGCTGGTGTTGTTGTGGGAGTCTTTTGGTTTTCGCTGGACTCTTCAAGTGATTTGGCCGAAGAGAATTCTTTTTGTAAAGTCTTTTTTAAATCGGTTAAACGTTGATTTAAAACTTTAATAGTCTGGAAAATAAATTAATCACAAATGTTTCTTTAAATTCTTTTCTATAGAAAACTTTCTTTAGAAGAGACTTTTTTATAGAAAACTCTCTTTAGAAGAGACGTTTCTATAGAAAACTTTCTTTAGAAGAGATTTTCTGTAAGACACTTTTCTATAGAAAAATTTCTTTAGAAGAGACTTTTCTATAGAAAACTCTCTTTAGAATACTTTTTTTATAACAAAATTTCTTTAGAAGAAACTTTTCTATAGAAAACTCTCTTTAAAAGACACTTTTCTATAGAAAACTCTCTTTACAAGAAGTTTTTCTATAGAAAACTCTCTTTACAAGAAGTTTTTCTATAGAAAACTCTCTTTACAAGAAGTTTTTTTATAGGAAACTCTCTTTACAAGAAGTTTTTCTATAGAAAACCCTCTTTATAAGAAGTTTTTCTATAGAAAACTCTCTTTACAAGAAGTTTTTCTATAGAAAACTCTCTTTACAAGAAGTTTTTCTATAGAAAACTCTCTTTACAAGAAGTTTTTCTATAGAAAACTCTCTTTATAAGAAGTTTTTCTATAGAAAACTCTCTTTACAAGAAGTTTTTTTTATAGAAAACCCTCTTTACATGAAGTTTTTCTATAGAAAACTCTCTTTAGAAGAGAATTTTCAATAAAAATCTCACTTTAAAAGAGACTTCTAGAACTCTCTATAGAAAAGACTTTTCTATAGAAAACTTTCTTTAGAGTAGTATTCTTTATAATCTTAAATTAATTATTTTTTTAAAATCGTTACTAGAATTCACTTCACATAACGCTCACCTTATTCTTTTCCGTTATATCACTTTGCAGTTCATCATATTCCTTAATTTTCGTTTTACTCTCCTCCACTTTTCTCTCCATTTCCTCCAACTGCTGTTTACATTCTAATATTTCCAATTGTTTCGACTTTAATTGTCCCTCTAAAGTAGCATTCTTTTCATGGATTTCATTGGCTTCATCTCTTTCATCACGTAATTCTTTCTTTAGCAATTCTTCACTTTGTGAGATTTCAGCATTCTTCAGCAGAGCAGTAAGTTTCTCTTCTTTTTCGCTTTCCAACAACAATTGGGTATCGTTTAGTTGTTGTTGCATTTCGTTTAATTGTTGCCGCAGAGTTTGGGAAACATTAGCAGCATCGGCAGCGTAGTTACCAAAACGTTCATCGGCCGCTTCAAGGCGATTTTTTAAATCACGATTTTCTGCTTCTAAAGAGGCCTGTTGGGGGGTATTTAAAGAAAACATTGGACAAGAATGAAATAGTAAGTTTTCATTTAAATTGAAAATTAATTGACTCCATTTTTTCTGTTCCAATCTCCAATTGTAGGAAGTAAAATAAGAAAACAATTTCAAAATTTAGTTTTTAGGTTTGTAACGGAAAAAAACGTAAAATTAAAGAGTTTTATTTAAAATAAATAAACAATAAACAGTTATTTAAAAAAATAAATATGAAATTAAACATAAAATCTTTGGATTATGGGGTTTTTTGGTTGGTTGGTGGGGGGAGGATTTAGTTTTAGTCATGGTGCTTTTAAATGTTTATAGGCAAGTGTAACTGTATTTGGTATGGTAGGCAAGCAATTGTTAGTTAGATATCCCATTGCAACTCGTCTACGTCTGTAGAAATACTCACGGATTTATTGCGTTCGTAGACAATTTGCTGTTCATTTTCCTCACGACACTCTTTTAAAGCTAAATTTAATTCATCAATTTCCTCCTCCAAGAGTTTAATCTATAACAAAAAAAAATGTATTACAATTATAAATATTTATAATGTTGCTGCGAATCCACTCCCTCACCTTATCATCTCTTTGTTTTATTTCATCTTTAGCTTTCAGCAATTCAAATTCTACATGCTTCACCCTTTCGATGAGGTCATCTTTTGTTTTTAGGATTTTTCGCTTTTCGGTGGTTTCTTCGGCTACTTGTTTCGATAGACGACTCACTTGCGTTTCTAAAGCCAAATTCTGACCACTCCAAGAACTTTTTATATCGGAAAGCTGTAGATGAGCCTCTTCAAGGTGCTGTTCTAGTAATTTACGTTCATGCACCAAAGCCTGTAGCTTGTCATCACCACTGAGTGTGCTGAGGGATTCAATGCGTGCCTTTTCCACGATTTGTAGGCGCATTTTCAAATGACGATTTTCTTCTTCTATGGCCGCCAGGGTTGTGGTTAAATTATTTTTATCTTGTTGAGAGGAATGTCTTAGTTGTTGTAATTCGTCCTGAAATAGGGAAAGAAAGCAGAGACAAATTTGAACACTTTTCTATAAAAACAGTTTTCTATAGAAATTTGCCTAATGAGAACAGTTTTCTATAGAAAATAAATAGAATAAAGACATTTTTCTCAGCCTTTTGTCCTATAAGTAGTTTTCCATAGATTAGAATTACCTTCAAATCTTCCACTTCCGTTTCATAATGTTTAAATCTTTCCAACTCGGATGTAAGATTCTCCACCTGCGTTTGATGCTGACGCATAGCATTTAAACGATCGACCGCCTCTTGCTCACGAAATGACAACAGACTGCGCAGTTTATCAATTTCATTCTGTTGCATATTTTGTATTTTCTCCTGTTCCTCACAATAGATATCCTTTTGGGTTTGAGCCACTTTAACTGTTTCCAAAAGTATTTCATTTGTCTTTTCCACACGTAATTTTTCCTCCTGTAATTGACTAATACGATTTTGTAGCTCCGAGGCTTTGGCGGTAAGCTCCTGGCACTGTTGTCTAAGAGTTATTAATGATTCAGACTATAACAAAAAAAAAAGAAGAAAAACATTAATATTTAACATTAAATTACAATTTGTTTTAAAATTACCAACCTGTAAACTTTCATCATTGGAATTAACACTAATGGTAGAGGAGAAACGACTTTTAAGACGATTATTATTGTTATTATTATTGTTTGCTGTATGATTCATAGCTGTACGCTGATGTGGCTGCAGCTGTGGCATGTTAACAACTCCTGGTCCAGCCACTTCGGAGCCCGTCTCTTCTTTTATTTTATTTTTCAAAGAAGCAAACATTTTTTCGTTTTTTTTTTACTATATTTAAATTATTGCACTAATTACTGGTTTAGTTATGTATTCAGTCTATTTTAACATGTAAGGATATGAACAATTATTATTTTTTTGGCCTAGAATTTTTTTCTTTTGTTTAAGCCATTTGGAATGTTGGGTTTTTCTTTCACTAATGTTAGGTTTTTGTTTGAAATTTTCGTTTTTTCTAATTTACACTTCGTTAAACATGTTGAACTAATTAAATTTTTATCAATTTTGTAGTTTATTTTGTGTATTTTTCGGTTTTACTTATCAAGTAATTATGCAAATTTTCCTACTTTTTTTTATTTGTATTTCCCAATAAGAAAAAAAAAAGAATTATGACACCTTGTTGTTTTTCTTCTCAATTGTGTGTTTGTTATGGCAATGCTGCCAAAGAAGCTGTCAGTAGTGTGTGACAAGTGAAATGAGCGATTTTCTTGGGATTTTTATAAGTGGCAACACAAAGTGCTATTGAGGAAAAATAACACTTTTTTGGTTTAAAATTCAAGAGAGACGTCTGTTTTAATAGTTTTCTATAGAAAATAAAGATACGAAGGCAGTCTTCTGTAGACAAATGAGCGGCGAAGGCAGTTTTTTATAGACGAGGATAGTTTTTTTTTTTTTTAGAAAATTTGGTGGCGAGTACCGTTTTTTATATAAAATTATGAACCGACGACAGATTTTTATATGTGAGGACAATTTTCTATAGAAAATTGTATAGCGAGGGCAGTTTTTTATAGAAAACTGAGCAGCATTTATAAAATGCAAAAAGTCGACTTTTAACTAAATGCAAAACGTCGAAAAGTCTACTTTCGTTTCAACTATAGAA